ACATCAACTGAAAGTGAGGGCTTGCCATTTGCTGATTCTAAGTAACTGATCCTAGGATTCGCCTTCCCTCCCCTCTGCCCACATCATCTTGTGTCTGCCTGCCCCCCACCGCCCCCCACACCAAGGGGTCTGCCTTCTCTACCCTCCTGGGAGACCACCTACACCTCCCATTATCTGTCCCGAAGGTCTCACCTGGTCAGGCCCATCCTTGAGAAATGGAATACACAAAAAGGGAAGTTTTAATAATAATACCCGCTGGCATTGCTATTACTTGCACCAGGCACTGTCTTAGGGTGAACATGGAATTATCTTATTCAATCCTGACTAGAACCTAGTGAGATGGAAGCCATTACTATGATCATTGGACAGAACAGGAGACTGAGGCTCAGAGAGGCCAGGTGATTTGCCTGAAGCAACACAGCCAGTCAGCAGCGGCAGAGAATCTGAAGCCAGGTCTGTCTGGTTCCCACGACCGTCACCCACAAAGCTCCCGAACCAGCACGTGAGATAAGTGCCCCTCACCCTGTCAGCAGCTGGACTGGACAACTGTCATCAAATACGTGCTGCCCCTCCCACCGCACTGCAGTCAGGCATGTCCACGTGACTGGCTCTGGCCAGAGAAATGCGAGCAGAAGTGATGTGTCACTTCCGAGCCAGTGTGAGCTTTAGCGTGATCACTGTTCCCTCTGCCACAGCGCCTGCTCCCCCGCCAGCCCAGGTCCCAGAGTGACATCTTGTGGAACAGAAACACGCCCGGCCTGTGATGGGCTTGATGTGAGAGCACAGAATACACTTTGGTGCTGTGAATCATGAGGTTTGGGGGTTGCTGTTATCACAGCACGACCTGGCTAATCCTGACTAACTCCGAGTCCACCTCTAAACCCTGGCTGTGTATACGCTTACTTAAAAAACAAGACTCACCAAAGGGACCACATCCGACACGCTGTATACTGGGCTCAACTCACTTCTTTCACTTAACATGTGCGCCTCAACGGCACACGTACTCACGGGAAGAGTGAGGGAACCAGGGGCAGTGGGCAGGGCAGCTTCCCATGGCGTGGGACAGGGAAGGCGCTGCAGCCCGGCAGCCTGTGGCGCTGGCCAGATGCGCCTGTGCTTCCAGGCTGAGGCAGGTTCGTCAAGGTGTGGCAACCCCCAGACTAGCCAGCAGTCACACAGGCTTTGTGTTAATCACCTGTACTGCTGCCCAATTCAAACTCCGCCTCCAGACCAAGTCCACCTCCCTTACCCAATGGCTGAACTTAATTCATCTGTAGTTCCCAAGGCTTCGAACACCTGGTCGTCTTTGGGCCTCCTTTCTCCAGTGAAGGTGCTAGAAAACCCTGTGGGGGGAAAAATGTTCAGCTGCCAAAAATAAGATTTTTTTCGACGATATGCACTTTTTAGAAAAATGTCTATTTCAAGTGTAATAACTGAGCCAGGGCTGCCACACACTTTTTTAATGGCTGCAAAGAATTTGGAAGAACTTTAAAATGGAGCCTGCCGTGTCTCTGCATTTTTCACCTTCCCCACCGTACCTTTGTCTCCTGTTTTGGTGTAAATCTTGGGGATCTTGGGTGTCTTCGAGGGAGGCTGTGGCCTAATGAGAAAACAGACATCAAAAGGTGGTGAGTGGGGGTGGCTTCCACGTGGGGCACCTCCCTCCCTCCATGCTGCTCATGGCCTCCGAGGCAGCACTCACCCCTCATGCTTAACGCTCGTTGACATCGTTCCCCTCCATATCCCTCTTAGCTGTAAGCCCTTGTGGCAGGTTCTGTGTCTTGCCCACATCCATGTCTGCAGAGTAGCTGATATAGTGCATTTTTCAATGCAGAAGCTCAATAAATACTCACTGAAATAACGTATCAATCACCTTTCCACAGCCCCTGCACTGTGCTGAAGGGATTGCCAGCATTATACCCTGAAATTGTCCCTAGAGTCTTCCCACGGCTCCAACAGTAGGCACTACCCATGACCATTTTACTATTAACTGTGGCTCACAAGGCGAGACCCACCTTCCTAGGTCACCCAGGAGGGGAGGGCTGGGACTCAGGCCCAAGACCATCTTACTCCAGACCCCAAACTGTACCCTCTACTCTACCAAGTCAGGGCCTCTTGGGGGGGGGGGGGCACGTCCTCTCTATGAAACTTCAAGATCCTCAGAAATAAAGAATTGCCAAAACAAGGTTAAAAACTGGCATTTCCAAATAGCCACATAACACCTTTAATACAGGCTTCAACATTAAAATAGGACATTGCAAGGTTTTTCAAAGGTTAAGACACTGGATCTAGCAGTAACATCTGGCTGCGTTATTAATCATGGCACTCTCCGTTCCGAGGCCCGGGAAGCGGTGCGGGTTTCAAGGTCTAGATGACAGCCATGCTTCCATCGCGCAGTGCGCCTCTGGGTCTGAAAGTATAAGCCGCTTTGGGGGTCGGTGCACACTGAATGGAGGCCCTCCTGGCCGTGGAGCCAGGCGGGACGGCCTCTCGGCCCACAAGGGACATGCCCTGCCCTGAGCTTCGTGCAGAGTTTTCTTGTGCACAGAAACCTTGTTCTCTGGCTCCCTCGCCGTGGTGACGTCAGGAGAGAGGACTCACCCGGCATGACGTCACAGCCGTGTGACGTCACTATGCGACGACAGTTCTGGGTGTCGGTACTTTCCCAGCCAGGCACTTACCTGTCCCCGTCTTCTACGCCCGGGGAACCGCGGCTCTGGAAACGGGGACAAAGTAGCCTGCCGGCCGCGAGGCACCCGCGGAGGCCAAGGCGGCCCCCCAAAACCCACACAGCCATGTCCAAGCCGCTCGTCGGGGTTGACCCCGCCAGGCTCCCGTCCAGGTCCCGGGGTTACTCCACCTACCGCCCGCCGCGCCACCGCTCAACCTCTATTTCCATTGGTCCGTGGCTTTCGGCCCAGGGCGGGACACTCCCAGGGTCTCGTTTTCTATTGGTTCGCGGGAGAAGCTGGGCGGGGAAACCCGTGACGTCTTGGTAGACAGCACCTATTGGCCAATGCTCGCGCGCTCCGATTGGCTGAGCGGAAGGGGCGGCTCGTGCGCTCCGGGATAGATTCCGGCGGCGGCAGGTGAGGGAGAGGCCGGCGCTGTGGGGCCGGGGGGCGCGAGCCGAGACCCCGGGCGACGCTGGGCCGGGCTCCCGGCTCCTCTGGCTGCTTCTCCAACCGAGAACCATCCTGAGGGGCGGGACCGCGAGCCTGACGGACGTGCTTTCCGGCATCGGTGAAGCAGTACGTTTCCCCGCCCGAGCCCGGTTTCCCCGCCTGGAAACGGGGATCGCGGTAGTACTTGGTGCTCAGCGAGCTTCAGGTCTTCTCCTGCCGACGTGACCAGTGCACGTGAAGCCTTGAATGGAGGGTCACTTTGCATTATTTATGAAAATCAAAATGCGCGCACCCCGAGACCCAGCCGGCGACTCTGGGACTGCGGTGGAGATCGCGCTTCGGTGTAGCTCCGACCTCTCGGGAGCAGCCCGCGTGTCCGGGGAAGAGTTCTTTCGGGCCCACGATCTCACTTAAGTCTGTGCCTTTAATAGTAATAAAATCGGGAACCAAGAACAGCCATTATAGCAGCCCTCAGTGGTGGAGCGGGGTCAAGTGCTTCCCTCGCATTGTTTAACCTCAGCGTCCCCAGGCTTCCTGAGGTGGGCACAGCTATGTCCTCACTTAACACGTGAGGACCCAGGTCCAGAGCCATAGAAGCGAGTTAGCCAAGGTGACATCCCGCGGGAGCCGAAGGGCTGCGTGCGAGCCCAGGTCTTTCTGGCGGGTCTGGTGACGCTGCACTGCAGCCGCCTTTCTTTCTAAATGACGCGCTGGCACTCGGCGTTGTATGAATGTCTAGATCCGGGCCGTCCACCCTCTGGCTTTCCCTTTCAGGAGCCCCCGAATCATGTTGCCAGAAGGCCTGCTGGTGTCGGCGCCGGGGAAAAGTCATCCTGCACGGAGAGCATGCCGTGGTCCATGGGCAAGGGTAAAGGGCCCACCTGCACGGACGGCACCATTGTCCCCGACGCTAACAGGGAAGGGAGCTAACAGGCAGCCTCGTCGCATGGCCTGAGAGTACATCGGCGAGGAGGTCAGTCTCCCCAGCCAGGCGAGGAAAAGACAGGCCTGTGCCCACCGCAGGGCCGCTCAGCCCACTCTGAGAGCAGAGGACGACACGGCCAGCCTGGGAGTGAATCAGCGCTGAGGCAGCGAGCTTCGGTGGAGAAGAGGGAGGTTTGAGGATTGACGTCTGGGGACCTTCACCATTTAGAAGTGGGAGGACGCTAGGCCCCAGCACAGGAGTCTAAACAGGCGTCATCTCACGTAACTCTTACAACTGCCCCTGCGGCTGCACTTTATTATCCTGTTTCACCGCCGTGGAGACTGGGGCTCGGAGAGGATTGGGAGAGCTGGGAGTGAACCCAAGTCCGTCTGAGCCCAAAGCTCATGCTTTTCCCACTCCTCCTCTTTGTCTTGATGTTCTTATCCTCGAAACGTGGTTATTACGGGGCAGCCATTCCTTGGCGTGAACCTCTGAGGCTTTGCATGGGGAAGGCAGACATAAGTACAGTTGAACTCCTACTTGGTGGGCAGGGGTTGTGCCCACGCTATGTGGGGAGCATGCCACGGCTGGTGAGCAGCGTCTGCCACGGCCCGGGTGGCAGTGGCCTGTGAACCAGCACGGAGTTGACGTTGTCCCCTTTTTCCTGAGACAGGAGTCACGCCTGTTGCTGCCCACCCGCAGGCTCATTGCTTTTGCCCTATAGGTAGCACTGGCTGTGGCCTTGAACTTGAGAACGTTTCTCCGGCTTCAGCCCCGCAGCAATGGGAAAGTGGGCCTCAGCTTACCAAACATCGGCATCCAGAGGGCCTGGGATGTGGCCAGGCTCCAGCTGCTGGACACCAGCTTCCTGGGTAAGTGCAGGGAGGAGGAACCCGGTGTGGGCGGAGCTGGGCCCTGAAGGGAGTGGATAAGACGAGGCTGGGCAGTTATTCTAAGCCAGTGGTCGGCAAACTGCGGCTCGAGAGCCACATGCGGCTCTTTGCCCCTTTGAGTGTGGCTCTT